ACTTGAAGGAACGTAACAGCAGCAAGCATCAAGGCACCTAGTAGTCATTAAAGGCCATTACTACATATAGCAAAACACTCTGTCAAACTCAAATTGGCATCTGCTGTTGTTGTTAAGTGCTGTGGAGTCTGTTCTGATTCACAGCAATCCTGTATTAGGTTTCCGAGGAGTATCTGGTGGTTTAGAACCACCAACCTTGTGGTCAGCAGTCCAGTGCTTTATCCTACATCAGAATTCCAGAAATAAAAAGCTAAGTGGTAGTAGCAGGAATATTAGTCAATACAGACTTCTTTAATGTGGATTCATTAAAATTCATTAAAATCTATGACAAAATAAAATTATGAAACAAGAATTTATGAAATAAAGCTTTATCAACTTCATCCATTATTTCACTTCATCTATCCAATATTCTGACTAGAAAATATCTTCATTTCTTAATGCTTCCACTCTTCGTAAGATTTCAAGTACTTTTAATCACTATACATTGCTGCTGTGTGCTGTCAAGTCGGTCCGACTCATAGCGACCCTGTGTAGGGTTTCTAAGGCTGTAAATCTTTATAGGAGTAGAAAGTCTCATTCCCCCCACCCAAGTCACTATATTTAATACACACACACATACATATATATTTTTTCTACTTAAAAATAACTATTTTACTAATAAGAGTAATAATAATAATAAAACCTCAGAATAATGTCCAGGTGGGCTATAAGCCCTAATGTGAAAACCAAAAGTTTTAAATATTAAAAGAAAATTTACTAGAATATCTCACGAAAATTTCTGACTTCATGGTGGGAAAATACTTAAAGCTTAAATAAGCCAGAAAGAGCACAAAACACATAATAAGATCAATATATTTTATTACATAAAAATTTAGAATGTCTATCAGTCAGAGGATTACCACTAAGGACAAAACACATATTAGAATAAATCCAAGAAGCTGGATTATATGAAGAATGTGGTTTCAGGATTGAAGAAAGGCTCATTAACAACCTGCAATGCGCAGATGATATAACCTTGCTTACTGAAAGCAAAGAGGACTTAAAATACTTACTGTGAAGATCAAAGAGCACAGCCTTTAGTATGGGTTGCATCTCAATGTAAAGAAAACAAAAGTCTTCACCACAGGACCAATAAGTAACATTTAGGATAAACAGAGAAAAGATTGAAGTTGTCAAAGACTTCATTTTGCTCAGAGCATCCATTAACAACACTGAAAGCAGTAGTCAAGGAATCAAACAGCGTAGATTAGACAAATCTGCTGCACAAGACCTCTTTAA